GAGGGTCCACCCTCAGAATATTCGCTAAAATTAGGGTTCACGAAATTCCTTGGTCGCAACTTGACAATTTAATACATTTTAATACAATTCACAAAATTGGGGGCCATCCCCCATTTTCGGACAACCCATACCCGGATGTTGTCCTTGCAGCTGTCCACAGAGTCGCTTCATTTTGAGTGTCCTTTTGCCAATACGTGCGCAGACCATCGCCCAGCCAAAGCGTTCTCAACTCAGCTGTGATTAGGGGATCAACTGAGGGTGCTGATCTCGAGCCAAATTGTAAGCCAAACATTGCATAAGATACTCTCTCTCTCTCTCTATATATATATATCCTTATTTATATGTGTACAAATTTCTACAAATATAAGCAGTAATCATGTTCAATAAGAATTTGCCATGGAATTTACCAACTACAGCCAATGTCCATATACCATATACACTTTACTGGTTGGTAGTCTGGGGGGAACTACCTTCTGTTTGGTTTGATACCGGACTAGAGAATTCTCATGAAATTCAACGATTCACCTCTTCCACATGTGCTATGCGGTATGACCAAATGATATCAGTTGACTATAAAATGATTATGCATTGACTATAAATTTGAACCTCCATATTTGGCTTCTAAGAAAAAATAGTTTCCTTGCGATTTGTTCAATTGTATCCTTGAAACCAAACGACGGAATTGAAGGGAAAACACCAACATCAACCCCTAAATCATGCGGTGTTCATGCGGGCGTGTCCAAAAATGAGGGATACCCACAAGTTGCATTAATATTAGGAAATTGCGGTTTGCCCACCAGTCTTTGGCTATTTTGATGTTGGACACTGTGACAAACCATGACCTTTTGGGAGGTATATATACCCCATTATCAGGCAAACACATGTATTCGGTGCCAGTTGTGTCGCTGAGGAACACGCGGGGCAGACCTCTCCGCCAGGCCATGTCCCATCTGCTTAGTCGGTTGCAGTATTCAATCCCCTTGTTGGGAACATGAGTGCTCAAAAAAGAATGTGCCAATTGCGAGCACGTAAACACTGTCAATGGTTTTTTTCCTTACCTTCCTCAGTCGGCATTTGTTGAAATTGTTTTCTACCCAACGTGTCAGTTGGGGTTGAAACGTAGAGACCACCAACCTGCGCCCTGGAAGACTGCCAAGACCACACAGGTCCCAGGCCTTTTGGGGCAGCTGCGCTATTGGTCAGGCAGATCCTTCGGTTCTCCGCCTTGAAGCTTGGGGTTGTGGCCCCACTGTAACCAACCCTGGGAAGTTTACGGTTGAATTTTGACATTCAAGGTGAGGATTAATGCATGGCAATATTGGCATTGAACTGGCTTTTCAGCTCTGGGTAATCAAATAAACGCAACAAGATTTTAAAGAAACAAAATGATTGAAGATTTCAGCAACCATAGTCGGAATTCAACCAACTACAAAGTCGATTTCATTCATCGACATGCGCAAGGTATTGAGAGATGTTCAAATGGGACAATTCACAACCCCTCTACCGCAAAATTGTTTTGTTAGCAGACGAAGCAAGCAACCAAAAACATAAGACCACACAAGAAAACTACAGAAAACTGTTTCTGGTTCTAGTTGGACTTTCAATGATTTTGCACAGTCATGTTCCTCCTTGAACCCCCTTCTAGAATCAGAAGTAACTAGCAGGCCTCCGCCCAACGGCACGGTTGGAAGCTCAGCGAGGTGTCGAGCCTGGCAGCTTGGCGAGAGGTCTGTCCATATAAACGCCTAAAATGTTTTTCTAATGGGGGAACCAATGTTCATAGCATCCAGTTGTTGAACATGGTAATTTTCATCATTTCCGATTGTTCTTAAATGTTAAAGAGACCTAAGGTAGAGGTCGTTTTAGATATGGGAAACCGAGGATGAAAATATGGATATTCAGGGCAAGAGACTGAAAGGTTGGTCATGTTTACACCAGTCCATTTTATACATCTTAGCACTCTTGCTCAAAGGGCGATATTTTGCAAATCCCCAATTTTCAGGTCTCTCCTGTAATCAAGCAAGGCAAAGAAGAATCACCCATAAAATCCTCCATTATATCCATCTAGAATCATTTGAGGGGGTTCCAAGCTAGCCATGTTTGATTGCAGAAGGGTGTGGGGATATTCCTATTCTGTCCAATACTTACATGTCTCCAGCCATCCTGGTATCAAGTTCAATCTGTTATCAAGGTCAATGGCAGTGTGGAGCAAGCAGGCGACACTGGCAGATATCTTTGGTCAGTTTGAAGGGGTCTTTTGGGGATACCATGAGGATTTCACAAATTGGGTTTTCACCAACAAACGTGGTGCTATACGGGGGATATCAGGGGATGTAGTGGGGATGCATCGGGATTATTCATTTCCCAGGTTGGTGAAGTTTTAGGCATGAAGTGATTTAGGTTGGCATGAAATTGTTGAATTCACCCGCCCATTGCTAGTTCCAAATTATTAGAGTTCCGCAGATGGAGTGGTAGCAATTCCGGACACATGTCATAGCTGAAAACAGGCCGTGCTTTGACAATCATGTTTCCTCAGGCTGCAGCCTCCACACTATATATTGTGAAAGATGGCTGGGTCAACCTTGGATGTGTAGTTGCTAACGCCGTGTCCGGTGGCCTGTGCGTTTTGTGTCTTTTGTGTAAACAAATAAATGTATGCATACATATGTATATATCTATATATATATAGAGAGAGAGAGTGGGGTGGGGTGTGGTGGGGTGGAAAGGCAATAACGTTCTTACGACCACGTCCTTGATGCTAGGTTGAAAAAATGCTGGAGTAACTTGGAAGACGCTATTTATAAGATAACATGCTGAAGTCAGTTGGAAGACGCTCTTGATGCTACCTTGATAACAAGTCGAAGTAGCTTGGAAGACGCTTTTGATGCTACGTTGAAAACATGTTGAAGTAACTTGTAAGACGCTCTTGATACTTCGTTGGGAACATGCTGGAGTAACTTGGAAGACGCTCTATGTGCTACGGTGACAACTTGTTGACGTAACTTGGATACAATATGGGGTGGGGTAGGGTGGAGGGGCCAAAAGCGTTCTTACGACCACGTCCTTGATGCTACGTTGATAACATGTTGAAGTAAGTTGGAAGACGCTCTTGATGCTAGTTTGATAACATGTTGATGGAACCTGGAAGGCTAAATGCTACGTTGATAACAAGTCGATGTAACTTGGAAGATGCTCTTGATGCATGTTGACGTAACTGCAAGAGATTTTTTCAATGGGTGTGGAGGCGCAAAACAAAATGTGAATATAAAATTCACACCTCAACAATTGTGTACAGAAAAGGGAAAGATTTGCAAGTGGCGACCATGAGTGACAAAAGTGACGTCGCCGCCAACAGGCCACACTGCACGGCGTAACCTAGTTATATTGTGGAAGATGGCTGGGTCAACCTTGGATGGATAGTTTAATATACGTAGTTTATACGTATACCTTTGTTAGCATACATGGGTGGAGCGTGCAAATCACCTATGGGCTAGAGGGTGGCTCCAAAGTTTTATGTATATAATATTATATATATATGATTTTCTTGTTTGGAATAGGTAAAAGCGCCCATTGACAAAGGGGATGCATCAAAACCAGCTACCCAAGAAATTTGATGTTTCACTGGGGAAAACAACCAGAAACGACCAAGATTTGCGGGGGTTCGGGGGCGAAGACGTTACGAAGCCAAAATGGTTTTTGTGACTGAAAATGTGCTTCCCCATTCCATCCAGTGGGAAACAAATCATCATTTTTTCCAAAGAACATTGTTTTTTTGGTGTATTTCAACACAGTATTATCGCCATTAATTACATCCCATCCATTTAAATTCCATGTATGTATGATTGACTAAACCCAAGATGGAATGTAAATGCCAAGCCAGACCTGAAACAACGCTCGTAGCACCAGGCGCTGTGTCCAGTTCTCCCTTGGTGAGGCCTGGGCAATATGGTGGGTTTTACTTTGGATATTTGAGGATATGTTCAAACATGTTCAAACATGTTTAATCAACATTGAGGTATTCGTGATTCCGAGTCCAATTTTTCGACCACGGGCATATCATATAGAGACGTAGAATAGTTGGACACCAGTTTTGCACCATAGATCCAGGATTCGTTCTGGTCATAATGGGGTGTTGTGACATGTTGTGACAATAGAACTGATCACTATATATCAGACCATATATATTTATTTTTGGAGAGAGATGTTGATCTGACGGTTTAGTTTCAAAACCGATCAAATTGGTGGTGTCTACGCACTTCAGTCCTCGATCTTTTCAGCCATGAACAGAGTTCGTGATGCTGTCATCTTGCTAGGATCGTTGATGGTTTCGACGTCAGCGGCAGGTACGGTATACCCAAGTGATCCCATGTAATTAAATTTGTATATACGTGTTGGTGCTTTCATCGCATTACCCCATGAAATCAACTTAACGATTGACATATACCAAAGCCCCCACCAGACTGGAGCGACTAGCCTGATCCCAGAATTGATTGAAGGAAACAGTTCAGGCCGCCAGCCAATGACGCCAATGATGCCTCAGTGTCACCGGCTGGGCTCTCAAGATCCAGGGATGCGGGCGTGGGACGGATGCTACTGGGGTCTACAAGGGGAGATTTTGCTCCAAGGTATAGGTGTTTTGATCGGTTAGCAAGGGAATCTAGGATGATTTTGGGATATTTGGGTTTCCCTAATTTTTGCACAAGCCACTGGGCTTTGAACATTCCCTTAAAATGCCTCATGCCTCAAGAGCTTGTGGGATGGGTGGCTCAACCACCTACAGCGCCTTAATTTGTTCAGATCTTTGAAATACGATTGCTGCAACCGGTTCTGCAACCTGGTATCTGTAACCTGCCAGACCCTTTTCGCAGGTTCTATATTGTTCTGCCAGACCCAATGGGATGGGAAGCCATGAGCTTGGAAAATGGCTATCATGGTATAACCAGATTTTGGACATTAAAGTGTTCGGGCACCTCGCGGTATGATTCAAGCATTCGATCGCAATGGCCAGCAGGGTTGCCAAAACAAACGCCATTAACTAGGACATGTGCAAGAATGGCTGAAAATAAAATTTGGTATCCAATACTACCATTACTACTAATGTGGGAAGCCCAGTGCCATAAACCTCCAATTGAACAGTTCCAATCCCACCCATGCTTGGTAGAAAGGTGATGAACAATGATAAAAAGGGGAACTGTTTATCATTGTGGGAACTGTTTATCATTGCCAACAAATCAGCTGTTGTTTGCATCCAATAACATAAAGATAAACTTCAGGCTCATCGACCATGTTTGTGGTGTTTTGCTTCCCCTGTCCGCACACGTTTGATCACCGGAGGAGTCAACCACCGCGTCCATTTGGCCTCCACCACCAGGTGCAGGAGCTGGGAGGTCCCCATACAAAATGGAGGTCTCAATGGCAAAAATCATGGGAAACCCCCACATAGATGGTTTATAACTGCGACTATCATCGGACTGCATGGAATATGTTTCAGCAAGCCATGTTTGACTACCAGAGGGTAGCTCAAACATTGTGTGTTTCACGGGGGCCATTATAGCAAAGTGGCCACTAAATCCCAACATTATATTCTTAATGTGGACAGGATGATAAACTTTGGGTTTCGCAGTGAGACAACCTGATGCGTTTAGCGCCTGTATCCCCCACAGAAAAAGACGTTTCAAACAGCAGCCCGCATGAGTTTATTTAGGAGTTGTTGTTACAGCTTTCCATGTTTTCCCAGGCCAAGTCATTTTCTTGCAAGGTGGTGCCCCACTAGTTTAAAATTTGTTTACAAACACCATTAATTATCTATAGTGTATAGAGCTATATCTACCATCAACCTTGGTTATTTTAGTGATGAAACAACTTGTAAACCCATTGACTATAGATTATCTACCATGAACCCAGGCACCAAATGTGGGATGCGTGGCTGAACCACCAGGTGCTGAGATCAAAGCCGTGACGGTGCGGCGCCCGATGTGTTGGAGATGGTCGGTGATTGGTTGGAGAATGTACAGGTGAATCATTTTCTTTTTAATAAATGAAGCACTTTTGGCCAAAAATCATGATGAGAAATGGAGGAGCATATTTCGTTACAGCCTGAATCAGCAAAACATGTGACATGGAGTATATGGTTGTGTTACAACCTCGCAAGAAAAAACATCAATAAACATCAAAATAGGTTATCCCATGTCAGCCACGATGAATGTTGATACATGCCATAGGGAAAAAACATATGAGAGATGGTCAATGGTCATCCCTAGACTTTTCGGGATTTCCTTCTATTGGGTAGATCGCCACTCGGAATTGGTCGTTTGACTGGCATAATACATGCACCTCAATTATCCTCACCCTCGTGCAGATGATTCAGATATGAGCACCAAAACTGGTTGGTGGTTTGGAACATGTTTTATTTTCCATAACATATGGAATAATCCTTCTCATTGACTTTCGTATTTTTCAGAGGGGTTGAAACCACCAACCAGGTATTGGAATTGGAATTCCAGGCTTACATCAAAAACACTTGGAACCAAGAACCTGGCCATCATGATGGTTGATGAGAAGAGTTTGGGTTTTAATGTTTATATTGTACATGACGTAGTGTATTACGTATGATTATATATATATGTATTATTAATGGATGTACTATAGGTATATCATACCCATCTATACCAAGCATATAAACTAGCCGTAATCCATGACATGGCTGAGGCTCAAGCAGCTGAGGCTTGCAGGGCCTTGTAAAATGGTGATCAACCAGGGAATTTTGGGGCACCTTATTTTCAAACTGTTTTCAGACACATCCACTACTGGTTGGTGGTTTGGAACATTTTTCATGTTTCCATATATTGGAAATAATCATCCCAACTGACTAATATTTTTCAGAGGGGTTGAAACCACCAACCAGATTAAGATTTCATTTGGGAGAATGTTAGTAAGGCGATAATAGACCAACTTTTTCTTTTGGGGGGTTGTGCCAGCCATTTATTGAAGGTGTTTTTGATGGAGAAACAAAGAGGTTCTAGTACTGGCATTTCAAACACTTATCCGGTGCATTCTTTCTCTTTGGGGAGAGAGCTTGGGTTATTCAGATCTCATGAATGGGTATAAGCAAGTTGATCAATGAACTTATGTAGGTTTTGTTTTGTGCACCCACAAGACAGATGGCATTTGCGAATGTTGGTGGGGAATTGGATGACATGTCAGAAAAGACAATTTTGGACCTAGACAACCGTGCTTGACATGATGGTGGCAGGGAATCAATATGTGCAAGCTATGTTCCAATTAATATATGATGACCTAGCTGTTGGCAAAAATACCCTAGGGTGATTTACAATAGCGGTTGGTTTGGAGGCAGCGGTGAAGGGAGTCATGGGTATCCAGCTTTTCCATACGTTTCCCATTACAGAGATGGGGAGCCAGTTGCAGCTACAATCAGAGTTTCCCGACCACATGATAGACCCAACCATAAATTTAATGAGATAATTAATAACTATGATCTCACTGACAATAAATAGTGCTTTTAATTTCATGAGATAATAGTGAGATTCATGATTTAATGATAAGAATGAAAAAATGGGACAGCATCGGAATAATTAATAGGTGTTTCTCCACTGCTCTCTTCCGCCCAGGACTGGGATGGCTATGGCCCAGCCTGGGATGGCTACGGGGCCGCTGTGAGGGCACTCAGCTGTTGTTTGATATGCAGATAGATAGATAGATGGATGGATGGAAAGATAGACAGATAGATAGACCGGTAGGTAGATAGATAGATAGATAGATAGGTAGGTAGGTAGATAGATAGATGGACTAGATATACTAGATATACTTTCAAATGCTGTAAGTATATGATAGATATATACAAATGATTTTGAATAAATCGTATGAGCGGCATTAATTTTGATTGATGAGGTTTCCCATTAGAAAACATATCAGTTACATGTGTTACATGACTTTGTTTCAATATAACATGGCCATACTTATCCGTTGAATTCCATTTCCCATTGCGAGGATTCAGAAGTGGAGGGTTTGTTTGGTGAGGCTTTGAATGGGCGTGTCCGAAAATGGGGTACCCCCCAATCCTATTAAAGCGGCCATCAATTAGGGGTAAATCTACCATTTTTGGGACAAACCCATAGATAGATAGATAGATAGATAGATAGATAGATTATATATATATATATTATATATATATTATATATATTATATATATTATATATTATATATATAGAGAGATATGTACAGTATATCATTACATCCTGGTAAATGCCCCAGTTACTAAACCACTCCCATCATTGGGTGATCCTCAGGACGAGGCTTCTCCAACGGAGGAACTTGAGCCCAAGTCCAAAGAGGACGGCGGGCCGGAGCCAAGAGACGTCCCTGGGAATGTTTCAAAGCAGGGGGGTTCATAGGAGTTATAAGTGGATAGATCACTATAACATATTGTCACCATTTATATACATATACATGGTATGACATAAACAAAATGGGGATGATAAATATCAGGGTTGCTCCACCAAATCAACGGTAAATTGTAGCCGCAAGGGGGTGTGAAATGGGTTATATTATCTCTTTAACTAGCCATTTAACACCCCCGTGTATCTGGGGTGTTGGGAGTAACCCTGAATTTGGTATCGTAGCCAAATATAGTACAATGACAATGACAATGGCACAATATAGCGATAAATATGTATTTTCATTTGAAAAGAAGAGAATGAATCAATAAATATCTAGAAGTATTATACTGCAGTTCAAATATGATTATATGGTATCCATCATTTTAATAACTATTCCATAAATTACAAAAAATGGTTGAATGATTTTTAGATATCAATACCATTTTACGGCGGTATTTTGTGGAAAATACAACCAGAAAACCAACTAATTAATTTAATTTGGGGCTGTCCAAAAAATGCGTATTTCCAATGTAATTTGGGATTGTCCAAAAATGGGACTGTAGATATATAGCACCAAATAAATAATGCGATATATTGCAAGTTTATGCAGTTTTAAAAGGAAACATGATGACAAACCATTGGATGGAATGGGATACCCAATTTCAGACAAACCCATGTAATTAGTAAAAGTAGAGTCATCACTGGGTCCCGGAGTGAAATTCATTTATGAAAGACATAGATAACAGAAATGGATGAAATCACCTTCCATGAATTTCCATCGAGGAACTGTTGGGGAACTTCATGATGAATGATGATGGATGGATGTTTTTTTGTGGATCGAAAGGGCGGTTTTCCTTGGTTTAGCAACTTATAGGATAGGATATATCGGATACACGGACCAACTGATGTACCCTCCGGTAATCAAACGTGGCTGGCTGGGAAATCCCGATCAAAATGGAAATTTCAATGGAAAAATCATGGAACCAAATGGTTGATTTTCCAGAACGCAATGTTTAATTCCCGGATGTTCTCCCACGCACATCCCCGTTTTTGTTGGTTAAATCCCTATGAATCACCAGAACATCCCATGAATTCCCATTAAATCCCTATTAAATCCCATTAAATCCCTATTAAATCCCATTAGATCACCAGAAAAGCCTATTGATTCCCATTGATCCTAGTATACTGATCCATGCATTGTTTTGCAAGGCAGATGTGACTGATGCTGTCGACAAGCTGCCGGACCCGGGGGGGCGAGGATCTTGCTGATGCAGATTGGGTGCTTTACTCAGTTTCAAAGGCGATAAAACCTATAGTGAATGACTGGCAAAACCCACTATATATTATGACTTTGATATCTAGATATACATATTACAATACATATTATATATATATATATTATACATACACACGTAATTTGTGAATTTGTATATATACATATATGATATAGATACACAATGATTCACATGCATACATATATATATATATATTATACATCTGAAATTTCATATCAAGTTTCTGAAGCGGGTTCACCTGGTTACGAGCCCAGAACTTCCTGGGGATGGCATCCCAATGTCTCGGAAACAGGGGCAGCTATAAACTGGATAATTTACCATGACCAGTTGAGCCATTAGAGATACCTTGGGTGATTGGTTAAATTATAGGGAATTATTCTACCTGGGTTATAGCTCATAGGGAAACCGCGGGAAACCTATCAACCAAGTAGTCGAATGAGATGGCTCAGCTCGGAGACTTTCTAACCAAGGGTACCACTTCCCAACTGGGACGCATTTGAAAGTAAATCTCTCCAAGACTTGGATGAAAACATGACGAACATGTAGTTGTGGTGTTCACCAGTGGTCGCGGGCATCTTTGGGTGAAATGGCCCAAATTTTGCCCACACCCATTGTGAGTATTTCATACTGTCCCAACAAGGGAAACCCAGAAATTGGGCAACCAAAAGTCTCCAAAATCTCAGAAAATCTCCAGACTCATGGGATTTTCATTGGACTTTCACGGGATTTTCTAGGTCTTAAATCTTCTTTCCCCATCTCGGGAGTTGCTGCCAGGAGGCTGCTGAATCGGTTCCAGAGCCAAGGACCTTGTGACATTCCCGTAGAAGTCACAACGGTTTTCATAGAGATGAGCAAGAAAAGGAATGAAAAAAATGTATATAAACAAACCATGATACCCAGCTGCCAAAACTGTTTATTTGTTTTGTTTGTTTTCTTTGCAGTCATTTGGTGAGTCAAGTGCAGGTATGTCGCTGTGTTGCACATGTTTTCGCGGTGCCAGGCAGGATCAAAAACACATCTTCATTACCAGCCTCTTGAATGAAATTCCGCACTGCACTGCGACCTGAGCACTGCGACCTTAGCACCATGTTTCTCAAATATTTATGTCACATAGAACTTCAGATATTAAACAAACACGCTTAATGATGATAATACTCGTAGCTGCTTTCATAGCTGATGAGTATGGTAACTGTAATCATCCATAAGCTTATGGCAAGCGACCATGGGTTCCTGGAGGGATGAACAAATCCTGAGTACTTGTTGTACTGGTATGTAGTACACAAATAGTAACCTAATGATATGTGCAATTTTAACGACCTCATGTCGCGACGGATTGTAAACACCACATTGCCACAACTGATGGCCCACTTACTTCCATTGTTTGCGGGTTGGGATTGAAGCATTTACATGCATTTACAACATCTATTCAACATCCATTCTGGTCAAGCTTCTTCAACCCTGGATTTTGAACTTTTCCATTTTTGTTCTGCGCCTTATGGTCGCCGACGGAAGCCTGGAATGATGGGTGAATGTATAGGGAACCTTGCTCAGGTCAGTGAATTAGAATTATTATTATTACTATTATTATTACTATTATTATTATTATTAGAATTATATATATATATATATCATTTATAGAATTTGCTCAGATGACGATGATATTTCATATTATTTCATATTATTTCATCCATGTCATCCTACATGAATCCCTCCCTCATTCTACCCAGTTGCTCAGTTGCTCAGTATCAATCGCACCCGGATTGGAGCCATGGAACTCATTGAGGTCAGCCCGGAACTGGTAAGACCACACTGATTCACAAGCTTCTGCAGAAGCTCACTGAGGACAAGGGTGTGGCTTTTTCAGGGTGGATATCCCAAAGAAATTGGCAACTTGGATGTTTTCATGAAAAACTTTGTGTTTTTTCCCTCACCAGAACGTGAATTTCACATGATTGTTCCATAGAAACTGGATATGTGAGTGGTTGTACTGACGAGTTAAGCTGGCAAAGGGAAATATTTATGTTTGAGAGATACATCATCTACAAACGGACCATTTTTCATTTCCAACTTGAATCAACAGCGGGTAGATGATGTTGGAGCGTTGTTGTTTTCAACCACAAGCCACACCTTCAAAGGATGACACGAAAGGACGTGAGCGTTTCCAGGCTTATCGGCTCATCCATTCAGGATCTGTGTCCTGTGGCTTCATGGATTGATCGTGTGTCCTGGGAACCCAGGAAGATGGTGAAGGTGGAGTTGACATTTTTGGTTCCAAGCTCAGTGGGAGAGATGGTAAACAGCCATGGAAAGCCCATCGGTTTTATAAAATCACGATTTTCCAGCCAGAACCAGCCAGGATCGTTCAAACAACGGAGGGTGGAATGGTCAGTTCCTATCATTCTGGCTCGGTTGATTGGAGGAACATATTCCCGGAGACTCGTTTTGGGTCTTTACTATGAATTTTGGGGATGTGCCTGTTTTTGTGCAGAACACGTTTTCTAAGCAGATTCCGGGACCTTCAGTTGTCATTGGTTTTTCCATTGCTGTTCCATTCATTTTTTCACACATGTCCTATCCGTTTTCCTTTCCTTTCCGATCAGCAGTGGTTAACTTTTCCAGTCTTCCAGGATTCATATTTACCTATATTTACTCACATTACGTGGAAAACTACGATATCCATCCATATCCCACTCTCATGATTGACACATGGGTTTGCTTGAAAATAGGATAACAAAAACAAAAACAAAACATCAGTAAATCATCATGTTCCCCTGTTGAAACAGGTATCTTGGGGGTATACCTCATTTTCAGACACATCACATCCCTATTGTCACCGTAAATGGCTAGTTCAAACAGTTTAAACATGTTTAAACCATCAAAATGTGAGTGGTTTATGATTACTTTGCGAACATTCATATATGGTTGGTTATATATTCCAGTATGAAATCCCATTAATCCCATTATGGGTGGTTTATGACATTGCTCTACTAACGTCTGAGGCTTCTACACCGAGGAGGTCAAAGATCCGGAGCAACCTGGTGGAGTCAATGAAACATACACGGCTCAGTTGAAGAATATATGGGGGTGATAGAAAATGATGGAGAATAGTGGTTCATAGTGGCTAATCATGGTTGATAATGGTTAATAATGGATCTTTTTATGGGCTGTCACTTGAGTCAGTTATCAACAGTCAATCCTTGCCACAGATTTCAGAATGACTGATGTATGATGGCATTTTAACCATCAATGGGGAGTGTACCACCAGAATCTCCAGCAAAAATCGATCATTCTAGAGCAGCAATACATCGGCTGACTATAGGTACGCATGGCTGAAATCGTTGGGTACCCAAAATGTTCTAGCAAAAAACAATTGTCCAGGCATGTCCAATCTGTGAATCCTCTAATTATGTAAGCCTTAAATCTGCAACCCACCCCAATATGACTTCATTATCTTGGTTTCCTTGAGGCTGCCGTCAACTGAGGAATCCCAAGCAGAGACTGGGCTTTGATGTGGTCCGAGTCGGCGCGAAGCTGAGTTGTCTCTTGAATAGGCCATATATATGTATTATATATACATATTTTATTTATCTACACTATATTACTATATATTGCATATAATATAATTCTGTAAGTCCGCATATTTAAGTTGCTTCAGATTATTCTGCCCACATATGACCCACAACAGAATTGACAACCAGTTTGCTTCCTTCAATACTTTGGAGATCTTGCCATATGCACGTGGCACATGGTTTGCTTCAGCTTGGTATTAGCTCCACAGGTAGTCCTTGATAGTGGGTACTGCAAGTCGGTCATGCAAGACCCATGTGCAGTATTGAACCATCCCACCTTGCAGCTTCAACCCAATGAATGTCATTGGTGGATTTCCGATATGTATATATAAATATAGCCATCCACACTATTTCCAACTTAGTATCATTCAATATGCCGGAAAATAATATGTGTACTGACTCCTTATTATGTGTTATGTATTATTTATGCTGTATTATCTATGATATGTTATGTATCATTATTTACTATGATTGATCATTACTATTGTTGTATAGTTATTGTATGTTATTGTTAGTTGTTTAAGATTTAGACACTATTGTATTGTTATTGCTGTTATTCTTGTTTGCTTCAACCATCCCAACAGATCCAAAATCTTCCCAGGCGAAGTGGAGGAAGGGGCTCCAAAGCGAGCAGTCCTGGCGCGCGTCGGACAGGCCTGGACGCATGATTTTCCCATTTGTTTTCCATGATGGTCCCATAGTGTTCCGTCATTGTCATGAATTTCCCTCATAGTTTCTCCATAAAAGAATATGAAAAAGGCAATGTTGGGATAGTTTGGGAGTATGCTCTATTTTCAGACACGTGCATGATGGCTCATATCATATGACCATCCCGGTGAGGTCGATGGAATAGAGAGACGAGCCACATCCTGCCACCAAAAGTGATGGCCCAGAAGTAGGAACACCTTTGGCCCAAGGCCGAACAAGTTAGGTTGATGAGTTTCCATGATCAGTATGTGTATGTATATGTCGTATCATTGTGTGCACATGTAGAGTGTCTGTACATATAAGATTATAAGTATGTATACATACATACATACATACATACATACATACAAACATACATACATACAAACATACATACATACATACATACATACATACATGTGATATTATAAAATATTTATATATCCATATCATATCGTATCATATCATATCATATCATATCAAATCATATATCATATCATATCATATCATATCATATCATATATCATATCATATGTCATATCATATCATATCATTTCATATCACATATATTTATATTATCATATAACATAAATTGATATTATCATATCACATATATTTATATTATCATATCACATATATATTTATATATTATCATATCACATATATTTATATTATCATAAAACATAAATTGATATTATCATATCACATATATTTATATTATCATATCACATATATATTTATATATTATCATATCACATATATTTATATAATCATATTTTTTATAGATCATGAACGTGTATGCATGTATACACTGATACTCGCCTCGAGGCGCTGCCGAAGGTGGGAAAATACACCGTGGACGTCGCAGCATTTGAGGCGTCGTCGCGTCGCGGACTCGGTGATGTTGATGTGTGGATGGAGATCATCGGATATGTGTGTATGATATGGTATGATTTTATTAGACTCTATTGTACATCTCTGTATATACTCTATCTCTATTGTAGAATGACATCTACTTGTAGTTGCTTTGTATGAGTTTGGATGTTTTCTAATTATTTGATTTTATTGGATTATTGTGCATGAGTATACTTGCCGGTGCATGAGAACAGATGCTGATGCATGGGATACACACATATATTATATGCTGCAAAAATAAGTATAATATAAGGCAATGTGCATGTATGCATGGGCATATATATATATGTGTGTATATATAATGTATACACACTGTATATTTACGTAAACTTCTCCAACCCCACGAACTGTCGACATCCCCGTCATCACCAATCATGGAGAGCAAACCCACAGGGTAAAATGCCAGCAGCGGATGACATGATGAGCAGTTGATAGTTCCAAGAGGTCGGACCACGCATGATGACGCAGTATTTTTTTTTCTCAAGATATGATCATATACTATGTACAGTATTCTATGTATTAGATGTAATAGTATTCATAACACACATATGTAAGGATCGTGTTGTTTTTGTTGTCGTCGTCGTCGTCGTTGTCGTCGTCGTCGTCATATTTCATCGGCTTCCTGTGTTTTTTTCTGATTGGGTGACTGTGGTTTTCCCTTCGTACTCGGAAGATGGGGACTCCTTTGATCAATTCATATCCAGAGTGGACACGGCATACTGGGCTGTATCATATCACTGGTATGAACCAAGATTGAGGTGCTGCCAACCCAGATTTTTGGGTCAGTGCTAGTATTGAGTCAGATCCATTTGTATCCTTTTTTCGGGGTTGCATCCTTGTGTTTAATTGGTAATGACTACCGCAGCGTTCAGACAAGGCCAGTTACACATTTGTCATGTCGTTGATCACCTCTTTGTGATGAGTACTGCATGGGTCAGTCTGCTATCATCATGTTCCCATTAAATCGTTCAAAACACAACTACTGTGGCGGTATACCCCATTTTCATAGACACAAATATCATGTGGTCAGCTAAATATCCCATGATATCGCCGTAAAATTGTTGTTTTCCTTTTTTATATACACGGATTTGTTGGTTAAATTTCTTGAATCCTTAAGTCATTTTTATGATGCTTGAATCCCACCATATCCCGTATACTTTTTGGTGGTCAACTCGCCAGCTTTCCAAACATTCCAAAACCGTTTGTATAAGTATAGAGTATATCCCTACCCTCTGGTTATGACCAACATAGCCATGGAAAGATCCACCATTTTTAAGTTCGGTAAACCATCTATTTCTATGGGCCATCTATACCATGGCTATGTTAAATAACCAAACGGTATTATATATAAGTATCACTAGAGTACCATTTCTCCCATTTGAAAGCCATCTAAAAAAGTACCACAGTACGATATTCCCGTTTAAAACCCATCGAATGGGCGGCTTCGGCAGGCCTTCGCACTTCCTGCCCTGGAACCTCCAAAGGAGGACACAGTTTACCAACTTTTACCAGCAAGTTGCCAGGTGGTGAAGGGAGAGATGGACAAAAAGTACACATCTGGTTGGCGGTTTGGAACATTTTTTTCCATAATATATGGGATACTCCTTCCCATTGACTAATATTTTTCAGAGGGGTTGAAACCACCAACCAGATATGGGATTTAACGGGATTCAATGTTTTTTTTTCAATAAAATAGTGATTTGTAGTGGTGAATCATTGATGACAGCGGATATTTTATGAAGATTTAATGGAATGTCACCCTTTGGTAATCACTGATACTCATGGGGGATTGAAACAAAGACTTACATAATCACACCACCTATTAGTACAAATTGATACAAATTGTAGAATCATAACCACCTATAAGCCTATATTATATGTATCAATGTATAACTAGCAATTTGTGTATTCATCACACCAGAAGTTGGAGGAGATCCCGCTGCCTTCGCAGCCGCGACTCTATCGGCCGCTGGAAGAAGCAGTGGAAGAGAAGGTCAGCAGAACTTGGAGCGGAAAAAACTGGGAGATTTCCATGGAGATTTCGGAAAGAAACCATGAGAATCTATGGAGATTCACCATGGGAATCTATGGGAATCTATGGGAATCTATGGGAATCTATGGGAATCTATGGGAATCATGAATATCATGATCTTTTGGGAATATGTCTACTTGAACCAACAAAAATAACGGTGATCCGCTGTGGTTTTTTCATTTAACCACGACTAATGCAACTAGTCGATATTGAATAAATATCAAATATCATAATGAGAAGTATCGATAGCAATATTATGTCAACTACTGTACCTTGGATTTGCTGATGATTTTAGTTTTACCGATGTTAAATCCAATACTTGGGGAATCTATAGGTAATACTATTATATAGTTTGTTTGTTGATGGGGTGTTCTTAGGCAAATCCAAGTAATATGTGGATATAATAATGAATGTGATTTAATTTCATGGGGCAAGCAATACACATTGTTGATATTTGTTGATGATTATTGACACTTTATGGAGGCAGCACGGGATGTAATGGAATCTTATTGGGATATGATGGGATATATACATATGATGGTTAATCTAAAGGTCCTTGTAAGGAGTTTTAATTGCGAAAGCCGTGCGTGTTATGTTGGAAACCCTCGCGAAAGTTTTTTTTTCGAGTTCGCGAAAGTAACAATTTATTTCGCGAAAGTTTCGCGAAAGTTGGGTATTATAATCATTATATGTAAAGGGCTGCCACCCACTGCCGCCCTGGGTCCGGCAGGAGAAGGGCACCAGAGAATGCGAGTAGCAGTAGCCAAGTTTCCAAAAGTGAGGCTTTGCGAGAGCCAAACACCAAGGCCCCTGGTCTTCGCTTTTCCTTCAGTGCACCCCCTGCTGATGGCCGGGGTCTGTGAATAGGGATATTTTCGCGAAAGTTCCGCGAAAGTTATGCGAAAGAGCGGGCGAAAGTCAAAGTGCATGTTGAAGGGGGTGGGCCAGTAAACTTTGCAAAAAAAAATCTGTCCTGAGAAGGGATTCCGTGATGCTAGCTGCATGTTTAAAAGGCTACCAAGAAGTGATCCGTGATTCTCTGGCGTAATTTGGCAGGTGGTGAACGAATCTTCATAAGAGGTGTTTTTGGCCAACATGGGCCCCGCGAAAGATAAACATGGAGTTCGCGAAAGTTTCGCGAAAGTAAAATTTTTATCCGCGAAGAATGGCCGTTCCGGGATAAAGGCATTTTGATCAACAACCATATATAACCATCCATAACCCACCAACCAGTTTAATTTGCTATGGGGATATAATCAACCTGATTTCACCAACCAGCTAAATCGAATTATTTTGAATTGTGATATACTGCGCAAACCAGCGGATAAAAGTCACCAAACCATGGGTATATAAACGGGACGTATGGAAACAAATCATCAGCCAACTATTTTAGTAGAATTCAAGCGAATAATTCAAGGATAGTAAGACTTGGGAATATGGTGGTTGGGAATCTTAGTTGGCTGACTCATATATCCCAATGAATTCGTATATCACAACTGGGAGAGTCAACCAATAGAATGGGGATATGATCAGCCAACCATGAAACAAAACATTAAAGCATTGTAAGATTTGTGTTTTTGGTTAATAATCTAATATCGCTTACAGTATTGATTGCATCGGTCGGTGCTACGGCCATGGGTCAAAACCAAACGATACGCTGGTGAACATTAAATCGCTGGTAAATGGATGGTCATCCCCTAAACAAATGTTGTATTACACGGCTTGATTTTACATGTTCAAAACAACTTAATCATTAATCAGCAACATCTTAACTGCAGGATTTTAACTGATTCCTAATGCTTATCCCAACAAATGGGATGATGAGCACAAATGAGCCGTTAAAAATACCCTAATTGATTATGTTGATTGATTTTTATAGGGAGTTATACTACCTGGGTTATTGGGGATTATGACAACCATATTACTGTAGGGAAACCTATCTATAATACCAACTAGTAATTATAATGAGATGGGATACATAGGGGTATTTCCAAGGGCTCAATTCTGGACTTTCATATTATTTAAGGATGGGTTGAAACAACCAACCAGCGAAGGACTTGTTTTTGGCCCATTTCTTCCAGCACGAGACGTCTTCCAATGTTGAAGAACGGTTGAAACGTGCCCGGCAAGAACTAACCATGAACGGGGAACAGCAAAACGAACCATGGTGAAATGCTGTGGATTCCTGGGATGGTTGGAGTACATCAACATACCACAGCGATGTATCTATGCTTCGGTCATCAAACTTGACAATGAAGAATCCTCTCATCTAAAGATGAGATTAATTCTGAATGATGGGCCACGGGGATTTCTTGTTCCAAAGTATAACTAGTTCCCTCGCCATTTGTTGACTCAGATCCCCATTGTTTGATGGCTAAATCCAGTTTGATATTTGGTTACAGTGTCATGTTTCTAAATCCCCACAATTGAAGTTTGATGCTTAGATAGGGTTTTGAAAGGTCAAATACCTGTAACTTCTAATGTTTGAAAGGTTACTGTAAATCCCATTAAATCTTACATTTTTATACATGTTTGACGCTGAAATCCCCTGAAATTTGCATATTTTGGATGGTCACATCCCTCTTAAAAAGCCGCAAGCCGTTCCCGAAAAGGGACCGATGCAGGTGGTGAGTCTCCTCTATGAGCCCGGCGATGACGAGGCTTATGGGGAGCCATTATAGATATAAACCAACTGGAAAAAAAGGGCTGGGCATAACCAACCATAGTCTAAAGTGGAAGTGTCAACAAATGCTGGGAATTTCATCATCAACTTAAGATCTTAAGTAGGATTCAAGTACGGATTGATTATGGTTTTTCATTTTTTTCATGGGGATATCTTTCATGTTTTTTTTTGTGGGATTGGATAGGATCCCTGGAGCTGAAAAAGAGTTGATTTTTGACCTACCTACCCGTGGGATACGCCACCATGTATATACTTCCCAGAAAAATAGTGCTGTATTTGCAATAATGTGGTCAAGCCAAAAATTCCCAACTACAATTTGGGGATGGTGTTTTGGCATTTGGCTTACATACGGTAGGTCTACCACAGCTATTCACGGTGTGTTTTTTTGGTTGTTGTGAAACATCATGAGAGAGGAGAATCGCGATTAGTTCAACGCTAAGTGGTCGTAGAAATCGCTATGAACACCCACTGAACTGAAGGAATTCAGTGGGTTGTATCCATTGTTACCATCTGGTTATTTAACATAGCCATGGAAAATCACCATTTTTAATAGGTACACCATCTATAAATGGGCCATTTTCCATGGCTATGTTAAATAACCAGAGGGTATACAACCATTCATATCACTAGTATCATCAGTATCACTAATGTCACTCATATCCTTATATAGTATGAAACAGTATGATTACTGACACTTCTGTCATTCATTCGACCAGTTGCTACAGTACCTCTGCCAGAAATACTGTAAACCCCTTCAATTGGCATCAAGAAAGGTTTATCGATATCTTTCATCAATATGTTATAGTATCACTAAACAGCCCGTAATAACCAGAATTTCTCCCACAACTTTTAGTGGCGAATCCCCAAGCGAGCGAGAACCCGTCACAGGAAGGTGCCAACAGCCGAATTCGCCTAGAGTTTGGAGAGGTCGCTGGGGTTGGATTTATCCATGACGAATGGTGGGTTAATCCAATAATATATGGATATATATATATATGGAAACTAGCTTGACTAATTCCACTAAAACAAGAATGAGTGAAGCTTGATGGGGCAGTTTACTTTCTGTAATGCTTGATGGGGCTAACCAGCAAACATGAATCAAGTGTTTGCAGGATAAGATTGGCCATGTAGGGGGTCAGTGGTTAGTATACCTCCAAGAAACGGTTGCTTGATAATTTGGAAAATCCAGAAATGATATGCCATCGCATCGGAATTCGAAGCATCAACTAGTGGGATAGTAGTAGCCGTTGTTGTATCTGTTTGTCTTATGGGATGAGGTGGGATTGTCCAACCAAAACGATGGTAAACCTGGAAACCGAAGCCCAAAACCATCCCGATTGGTTCGGTTTTTGGCAGTGGGGGTCCCGTGGTCCCAAGAAATGACACAGACCCACATAGTGAGCATTCAATCACTGGGTAGGAGTATTATTTGAGCTAAGCCAGTCGTATGATGATGAACACATTGTTCGCGATTCCAAATTGGTTCACTTCTTCTTGATGCTGATGCTGCTGCCGCTGATGATGATGATGATGATGACGACGACGACGACGATGAGGATGATGGCGATGGCGATGACGATGGCGATGGTGACGGTGAGTGCGAGTCAAAGGTTCAAGTTACCAAAACCCGCTTATGTTGCATGAGTTTGGTTGTTCCTGCAGGACAGAACCATACATTGTCCAATCACAAGGTTCATCATGTTGAGCCACACACGGTGTGCCTTTCTACACCTAAACAACGCCTGATACCCATCCCTGAAAGGAATAAGGCCCTTGAAGATCATTTCCTTTGCATCATGTGGCAATGAGTCAGTTCACCCTAGTCCCCTTCAACCCCAATATAGCTGGGATTTATTGATGTTCAGGAGCTGAACGTCCCACCTTCAAGTTTGCGGGAGGTCAGACGGACCGAGGGTATATACGGTATGGGACTGGGGTGAAAACAATGGGTATAACTACTGTGGTATAAATATGATTGTTCCTGATGGTCCTGCTTCAAATTGACTGATGCTGTGAAACAGAAAAGGTTTTTCACGGCTCTATGGGAAACAAACACAGAAACTTGGAGACTTTTCTGGGTGTTTCGTTGCCCGGGGTTGATCTCCAGTTGTCACTAATGCATGTGATCGGATGTAAATCAAAGTAGTGCCAGCGTTTGGATTTTTCCTGGTGTCAAACAAGTCAACGTCAAATTGCAACTAGCTGAGATGCAAAGGAACATAGGAACTTTTCAGATTTTTGTGGGTGAATCAAAGACACTCGTCCTTGCTTGCAGTCACAGATTGAACTTGTTGTTGTACTCTGTTGTTTGTGTTGTTTTGAACTTGCCACTGTGCTTTTCGGGGGAAAGCAGAGTTCAGATTTGTCAGACGCCTGTGAAGTTTGGACAGAATGTCATCAAGTTCCACAGGCTAATTGTCATCTTCACAGTTTTTTTCCAAGTTCAACACGTATAGCACCACTGCCCAATTCCAAGTGGGTTTACCACACTGGTTGACAGCAGGAGTTTGTTGATTTGCCCCATTTTTCAGATGGTTTTTGACGTTGGCGTTGGATCCTGCAGGTACCAACCGGATGGAAACATCCAGATGAGGAGCTGGGTCCTATTGGGACCATCCGAAGTGTATGGTTTTGCTTCGTCCAAAAACCATGGGTTTACCCTCTAGTTAAAGGAAATTTTGCCATAGAAATAGATGGTTTACCGTTCTTAAACATGGTGGATCTTTCCATGGCGAACTGTGAATGTCATAACCAGATGGTATCATGGCGGGCAAATCCAGCAATACTTCGATTTTCATCGCCAGGAGGAAGAACCAGTCCCTCGACTCTGCGTGGTTGATGAGGCCCAGGGTTACTGTGCTGGTGATGTGGATGGCATATTGATATGTGCAGTAAATGTGTATGTATAATATAATATAATATAATATAATATACTATAATATAATATAATATAATAACATAGACCCGGGCAAGCCGGCGGCGGAAGTTTCCCAAACATAAATGACCTATAGTTCAAAGACACCCTGTCCCGACCGTGTCCTTCCCTCGACACTCCACACCTCACCCGCAGGGCGTGGCTGCAACTCTTCGCACTTCACACTCCACACTTCACTCACACTTCACACTTCACAGTCCACACTTCACACTTCTCACTGCTTCCTTCACACTCCAAACCTCACACTTCACACTTCACACTTCACACTGCGCTCTTCACAAAAAAAAAAAAAAAACCTTCACAGTCCACACTTCACACTTCTCACTTCACACTTCTCACTGCTCACTGCTTCCTTCACACTCCAAACTTCACACTTCTCACTTCGCACTTCACACTCCACACTTCACAGTCCACACTTCACACTTCTCACTTCTCACTGCTTCCTTCCCACTCCAAACTTCACACTCTTCACACTTCACGCTGCGCTCTTCGCACTCCACACTTCACAGTCCACACTTCACACTTCTCACTTCACACTTCTCACTTCTCACTGCTTCCTTCACACTCCAAACTTCACACTTCTCACTTCGCACTTCTCACTTCGCACTTCACACTCCACACTTCACTCACACTTCACACTTCACAGTCCACACTTCACACTTCTCACTGCTTCCTTCACACTCCAAACCTCACACTTCACCCTTCACACTTCACACTGCGCTCTTCGCACTCCACACTGCACAGTCCACACTTCACACTTCTCACTTCTCACTGCTTCCTTCACACTCCAAACTTCACACTTCTCACTTCGCACTTCACACTCCGCACTTCACAGTCCACACTTCACACTTCTCACTTCTCACTGCTTCCTTCCCACTCCAAACTTCACACTCCAAACTTCACACTTCTCACTTCGCACTTCACACTTCTCATTGCTTCCTTCACACTCCAAACTTCACACTTCTCACTTCGCACTTCACACTCCACACTTCACAGTCCACACTTCACACTTCTCACTTCTCACTGCTGCCTTCACACTCCAAACCTCACACTTCACACTCACTCTTCGCACTCCAAACTTAAACTTCACACTCCACACTTCACACTTCTCACTTCCCACTGCTTCCTTCACACTGTACACTTCACACTGCACTCTTCACCCTCCACACTTCACACTGCACTCTTTGCACTCCAAACTTCACACTCCACACTTCACAGTCCACACTTCACACTTCTCACTTCTCACTGCTTCCTTCACACTCCAAACTTCACACTTCACACTTCACACTTCACACTGCACTCTTCACGCCACACATTTCACACTACACTCTTCACACTCCACAGTTCATCTCATCTGAGCTCTTCTCACCTTATCCCAGCTCATCTCTTCTCATTTCGTCCCTTCTCATATGTCATCTATTAAGCTTTCATTAATCAATTCCCAGCACTACTACTAATCACTGTCGAACCCTTGATGCACCTACTCCAATACGATTTACGAAGTCCAGTTGCAAAAGAATATAGTATTGCGCATGCAGCCGCGGCACCAAGCAACCTTGACGCAGCCATTACAATGCGATCTGCAGAGACTGAGTTGCAAAACACAATAGAACTACGCACAACGGCGTCGGAAATTGTAGCTCCAAAACCGGATCTCGACGCCAGAGCGAAAAAAAGACGATTTTGAAGCACTTTCTAAAAGGATTTTTAGAAGGAAAATCACTAGCGCCAAAATGGAGAAAATCTGCTGACAAATCACTGTCGCAGCCTTCATGCAGCCACTCCAATACGATTTACGAAGTCCAGCCGCAAAAGACAATAGTATTACGCATGCAGCCGAAGCAGGAAGCAACCTTGACGCAGCCATTACAATGCGATCTGCAGAGACTGAGTTGCAAAGCACAATAGAACTACGCGCAACGGCGTCGGAAATTGTAGCTCCAAAACCGGATCTCGACGCCAGAGCGAAAAAAAAACGATTTTGAAGCACTTTTTAAAAGGATTTTTAGAAGGAAAATCATTAGCGCCAAAATGGAGAAAATCTGCTGACAAATCACTGTCGCAGCCTTCATGCAGCCACTCCAATACGATTTACGAGATCCAGCTGCAAAAGACAATAGTATTACAAATGCAGCCACAGCACGAAGCAACCTTGACGCAGCCATTACAATGCGATCTGCAGAGACTGAGTTGCAAAACACAATAGAACTACGCGCAACGGCGCAACGGCGTCGGAAATTGTAGCTCCAAAACCGGATCTCGACGCCAGAGCGAAAAAAAGACGATTTTGAAGCACTTTTTAAAAGGATTTTTAGAAGGAAAATCACTAGCGCCAAAATGGAGAAAATCTGCTGACAAATCACTGTGGCAGCCTTCATGCAGCCTTCATGCAGCCACTCCAATACGATTTACGAAGTCCAGCTGCAAAAGACAATAGTATTACCAATGCAGCCACAGCACGAAGGAACCTTGACGCAACCATTTACAGGGAGGGAACGATCCTAGACTTGCAAATCACAATGGAATTCCATCGGCAACTCATCCACCAGCACCACTTGCAATCCCATTTAAAGTGAGGGAACGATCCTAGAGTTGCAAATCACAATGGAATTCCATCGGCAACTCATCCACCAGCGCCACTTGCAATCCCATTTACATTGCGGGAACGATCCTACAGTTGCAAATCACAATGGAATTCTGTCGACCGCACATAGACGAAACACAGTTGAAACCCCATTTACAATGCGGAACCGATCCGAGCATGATCCGAGACCGATCCGAACATGATCCGAACATGATCCGACCACACACGAGACCGTCTCGCACCCGTCGCACAGCAGAGGTAGATCATCGAAGTTCGTGGACAGACACACTTTGTATGGAAAAACATAGGGTTTCGTGCATCTGCTATCTCTCAAAAACGCATTTCGTGCGAGACTTCCTTCAAAACTCCATCGGCAACTCATCGGGCAGCACCACTTGCAATCCCATTTGCATTGCGGGAACAATCCTA